AAAAAAAAAAAAAAAAAAAAAAAAAAAAAAAAAAAAAAAAAAAAAAACGAACTTACTAAGAAACAACAAAAATTTTTGAAACTCCGAGAGTTTCGTAGAAACGAGAACTAAAATAATTATGAAGCTTTACTGAAGAGTTTCTCTCAAATAGTGAACATTTAAATTTTAATCGTATTAAAGCATGAATTTTCTATTTCAAAAAAATATATACATTAAATGAAAAAAAATTTATCTTATCAAACAATGAAAAACTTTTTTTTGAATTTTATACAAATAAAAATTATAAATTTTTATTCAAATAATGAATATTTTAATTAATCGTATAAGTAAAAAATTCAAACATACCTATTATATTTGAAAGAAACGAACGTTTAACTGCGAATAATGGAGGCGTACGTAGCTTATACGTTAGTGATACAAGATATGTCGACAGATACCTGAAAATTAGATTTTTATTCAGCTATCTGCCCCGAGACATTCAAGATTCATCGTAATTTCTCACTTACACATAAAGTCATTGATCGATCTGACATCAACCGATTTCTTTTCTCACTAATAAAATGTCACTTATAATAATGAAGGATATTTCTTCATCATAAGTCTACGTTTGTCGTTTTAAAAACACATTACTTTTTCTCTGCGCCACCTAGATACATATATATGAACTTATGTGGATCAACCTTGTGAAGATAGCAAAATGTACAGTTCGATTGTCTCATCGATTATCATTTTCGCAAAAATATCGAAATCCTTTTGTCAAACATTCACATTAGTTATTGAATTCTTTGCTTTTTATTATTAAATTCTTTGTTATTGTAATTTAAAAAATTGATATTATAAATATTATTTCTTATTTATAAATTCAATACACTTATTCTTAAAATATTTTTTAAGTTTTCTTAAAAAAAAAAAGTTAAATTAATTTTATTAAAACTTATTAAAATTTTAGTATATTCATTGTTTCGTATTTCTTTTGACTTTTTGTTCAATTTTGCTTTAAATGAATAATGAATATATATTGAATTAGATCGTAAAATATTGTTTTTCTATTGTTATTAAATAAAAAATTTTCTATGTATATTGATGCTGTTACGATTATGAATATATCTGACAATAACAAATATGAATTACTTAAAACAAAAAAAATTTTAAATATTATAATAAATATAAAACTTAAACAATCGTGATATTGATTAAAATGTTTAAAACAAATATTTTGTTCATATCTATGTAAAATATAGTTGAAATATAGTTGTGTGAAATATGAATAATGAAAATAAAAAGAGATTAATTATTTAATTAATTATTTCACAATTATTATTCATGTTATGATTCAAATTCTAATTTTAAAAAATTTTTTTTTTAATTTTTATGCATGAATGTATATATATTAAATAATTTAGTTATTCATTGATATATTCAATCAATATAATAAGCATTTTCAATATTCAATTTGCACAATTTGAAAAAAATAAAAATAAACACTCATAAAAATCTAGGTAAATAAAATATACACGAGAAGATCTTTTTGATCGAAAAGAATTTTATTTCGACAACTGTCGGTCATAGCACATGATTTACGTGTGAGTGTGTGAGAGGGTCTTCACCTTCTTCACGTCTTTTTCTTTCGCTCATAGTACGTAATCTCTCTTTTCTATTTATTCATATATACGTTCAAAAAATGTGTAATCATGGAAATATAGGTACGCCTAGGTTCTCTAAAGGTTCACCTGTATGCGCGTTCTTCTTGTTCTCTCTCATAAAATAAAAGTAATATTTTTTTTGTTTGTTCTGTTTAGTATTTTCTGCTATCATGTTACCGCGCCGTAGACGGATTTCTCTTGCGACACTAAATTACACATTTGTACATCGTTAACATCCCTTAAAACTGGTTTTTCCACTCTTTATTTTTCTCTCTTCGCTCTCATTTTTTTTCTCACTCACACACTCTTCTTCTCACGGCTTTTCTTGTCTGAGTTCACTTGAAACATTTACAAAGTAGGATATTCCGTGTTCCTGTTACGAGGTGCTCGCGCGCGAATATACACATACACAAATACACACACAACAAAACACACACGCATATACTTTACATACTTTTATTTATTTTATAATACTTTTCTTCCACTTTTATAAATTGGACTTCAAAAATTATCAAGGGAATTATCCTTTGAACTGCTTTTTTTTAACTCACGAATGATATATTCGATATGCATGTCATGTCTGATATGCATCAATTTGAACTACTGGTAATTCCAAAAAAAAAATCAAAAATGAATTAAATTTTAAAAATAAAATGCAAGATGTCAGTCACGAAATTTCGCGAAGTGTGATTTTTCCTTTTCAATTTTAGAGAAATAAAATATCTAATTTTTAACAAGTTTTAAAAATATATTATAACAAGAACATCACATGGCAGTACAATAGACAATTCTTTATAAATCGTTCAAGATGTTCGTTGAAATTATTAGGCAATATATATTAATAATGAGAAGCTTAACCTTACTTTTTCACAAGACAGTCAATTAAACGATAAAAATAAAGAGAATAGTTTTAACACGGAATTAAATAAAAACATTACACAATTATTCACGCTTCTTATTGTCTTAGTAAAATAATTATATGAAAATTGTATATCACATTAAAAATCGATTTAGTCAACCAAAACATATTCATTTGCATACGATAATTCTTTTTCAGAAATCGACGCATTACAAACGGAATGAAATTATGATATTGCATTTTTATATTTTAAATCAATATTAATAGTTTTCACTGACAATCATATATTGAACACTTGAATAGTTACTAACATTTACAAATAAATTTCACGAGTGAAAAATAAAAAAAATTATATAGGAGAGTTATATAAATACTCTCGAGATGGCAGTGCGTGTTTGATGACTTGCACGAAATCAAACAGAAAGACAAAGCTTGATAGAGTTAATTTAACATCGCTTATCAGAAGTGTTTAACAAACAGCTTCGAAACATATTAAGAATACTCCTAGAATCGTTAAATGTGCGTGACAGTATTATCATACGTTACGGTCATACGTTACTTTCATAGCGGCAATATTACCGATGTATTCTTTATTGTTATATTTTTTTAGTTTTCTTCTATACATCCATCTATGTATATCCACACAATTCATTCTATATAATATACCCATATGCAAAATCTATGGAACACCAAAAAATAAATTTATTTTTTTCTTGTTTCGTTCAATAAAAATCACATATACTAACATTCACACATATACACACACGAAATTCATATTATAATACTCTCAGTTTTCAATTCAGTTTGCAATCAATGAAATATAATTTGATGAAAATTTTTTTAATAAAAAAATATAATTTCTTTTAGATAATTCCAATACATAGGTATTATTAATTTCAAATACCTATGTACATATGTAAAAATTATATAATTATGTAGGAAATTTTATTATCAAATAACATAACCTATGAAAAAACATTATAATATGAAAGATTACACAATCGCCAAAATGAAAAAATTTCTTTTTAAGAAAATATTAGCAACGAAAATCAAGCTGTCAATAAAATTATTATTCTACGAAATAATAAAAATCTAGACGTCAAATTTTTTAATAAAAGAAAAAAATAAATAAAAGAGAGAAGCAAAAAGTAAAAAAAAAAACTCTGCAAATTGTTGAATTTTAGATGGGCTATATTTATTTCTCGATAGCTCGAAAACGTTAAATTGTGTGAATATTCTTCGATTTTAACTTCGATTCTTTCCTTACGTTACGTGGTATGGTCTGGAGAAATAACCTATACTGTTGTACTATACTTCATAATGGAATAAGTCTAAAGATGCTTAATATTGCTTATAATTTTTATCAATGATTATTATTGTTTAATTCTTAAAAATATGATTTGTATTACATATGTTTTTTATATTGTATTATTTTTTTAATTGCAGTGTGCTAATAGCATAATAGCATAAAAATAAACGATATTTTTGCGTGATTTTTAATATTGCAATGTTTATTCGTGAGAATGGATTATGGACATATTAATAATATATCGTATACGAGCGATCTAACGACATGAACTTGCAATATCAGCCGAGACACGAAACGCTTGCTAATTAAATTTATTGAATTTACACCTGAATTAAATCTTACTCGAAGAAAGAGATGAATAAAACTCAAAAAAAGACATCAGCAAAATAAGTCGATATTGCAAACTATTTGATATACAAGGATTTGCTTAATTACTTTGTCTAATTACTTTGTATTGCTATTTCAATGCCAGTTTGGTCTCTACTTTGAAATTTATTTATGTACGTATAATATCGTGTAAAAATCTTTATGAATATATGTATGCAACAGTTTTCTCTATTCACTAAAGATTTAAATATCAAAATAATCATATATAATATACAATTAAATAATATGATTGTTACAAATATTAAATGAAAACTCATTGAATATTTCTTCTGAAAATATAATAAAATAGAAATAATTTGAAATAATTTGTTTAAATGTACAAAATATTTTTTATAAAAAAGTAAATAGGGATAGTAATCGATTCTAAGAAATACACGATAAAATATTTTTTAATGGTTTATTATAATATTAAGTCAGTATTTACCTTTTAATTTAAATATTGTCTGAATAATTTTATCATTAATAATTTTGTAAAATTCATATTCGTTAAAAAATATACGCATTATTTATTTTATTTATTTAATGTAATTATAAATTCCTCATTAATTACATATTTGTATATAAAATATTTAGGCTATTAATATCCAAATATCATTAATTTCCAAATATATTGTTCATGAAAAACTACATATAACTATTATATTAATATTTAATACAATCGAAAAACTATTATTTAAATGTTTAAATGCATTTTCTTGGCGTCATGTGCATGTAAAAAGGGGAAAACGAAATTAAAATAAGAGAGAACATAAATCGAATTTCTACGAAGTTGAACAATAACAATTTGTTCAAACTTTTTGAGTTAATATCGATATAAAACAATTTGATATGCTTTTCTACAAATTCATATACATCGTAACATTATTGCATTTAAAAATATAGATCAAAAGACAAATTGTTTCCTGTTGAGAAAATAAAAGTACCGAAGTAAACGAAATTATGCGATTTGCAATCAATTTTCAATGCGCTTGAATTAATACAATAAAAGGTTAATGTACTCTTTGTGTACTCTTTGTGGTCGTTGCAAATTTATAAGAAAGTACTAGGAACTTGCCCACGTGAAATTACATTAACGGATTGGATTATGGTTAAATATTTGCTCGATAAACGAAGAAGACATTTAAACGCAAATCAAGTAGTCGATATCAAAATTGAGTCAGTCGTGACGCATCTTTCTTAGGATGAACTACTTTCTCATACGAATAGAACGTAGCGTGAATACGAATTATAATAATTGTTTTATTTTAATGAAATAAAAATTGATAATAAATAATTGATATTGCAATAATAAAAAAGGATTTTTTTTATAAATGTATAAACATTTAATTTATAATTTATATTAATAATGAAAATTTAAAAGTATATTGGTAAAATTAATAATGAAATTTTTTTTTTAATTTTTAGAAACAATTTGCATTAAAATGTTACTTATTAATGCTAGATTAAAGATTATAGATTTTATATTATTTCTATAATTGGAAGTGATTTTATTTTCAAGTTATATACTTATTAAGTAAAAAATACATTTGAATACATTTATCATAAAAAGATTTTATTGAAAACTGCGACGATAAGGTAACTCTTGGAAAGAAATATGG